ATGTTGATTTTGTATCTTCAAACTTTGCTGAAGTTGTTTATTAGGTCTGTTAGGGCTAGGAGCCTTTTGGCGGAGTCATTAGGTTTTCCTAGTGTAGAATAATATTCAATGAGGAGGGATCATTTGCCTTCTTTTTCCATTTGGATGCCTTTTATTTCTTTCTCTTGCCTGATTGCTCAGGCTAGGACTTCCAATACTAAATTGAATAGGAGTGGTGAGAGTGGACATCCTTGTTTTGTTCTAGTTTTCAAGGGGAATGCTTCCAGCTTTTTCCCATTCAGTGATGTTGGCTGTGGGTTTGTCATAGATGGCTTTTATTATTTTGAGATATGTTCTTTCAATGCCTAGTTTGTGGAGGGTCTTATGTGCTCTCTTTAAAATTAATTGTGGTTCTCTAATTGTTAAACTAGCATCAGATAAGCCTGTAAAATCCTCAGAGTGTGAAGTTATAATCAGGAACATTTTGATTTCAAATTATTCTGTAAAGCAGTATCAAAAAGTCCAGAGATAAGAAAATTATTATTATAAAAGGTCTACATTTCTTTTAAAATAGGATAAAGAATTTTGTATTTAGGATTTGAGTTAACAACCATTAAGAGAACTGCTGTACATGTTCTGTTTTGCTTTTATTTGCTGTTTTTAGTGTCAGTAATTGAGAAGGAAGGTTGAAAATGAATGTACACATAGTTAAAGGATGCCAATTCTTGGTAAATTGATAATTGCATTAATTCATTTATCCCTTTATGGCTATTGAAAAATTTGGTAGTCTAGTTTATTAATTTGACTTTTAAGATGTATACAGATATAGACCTATGACTTTAAAAATAATCTTATGAAATATAGGGTAGTTAATAACATTTTAATGGATAATTAACATTACAGATCAAAATATCTTTCATTAGAATGTTTTACTCATGGAGAGAGTCTGCATGGAATTTTTTCTCACTCTAGGCTCATAGTTTATCACAGATACACAATCTTGCTGATTTTTATAATTTATTTATGAAAGATGGACATGATTGCCTTCATTCTTAACAGTAAGGGAGCAGACTCAGAATATAATATTTGTTCATAACTAGTTTTTTAAATATACTTAAATTTGAGACTAGTTTTAGATTTATAGAAAAGGCATATAGAATTCCCAAATACCCTACATTCATTGTGCCCTGCTGTTAACATCTGACTATTACCATGGCACATTTGCCACAACTAAGAAGCGAACATTGATCCATTACTATTCAATACATCCCATATTCAGATTTCATTTGTTTGTCTCTAATGTTCCCTTTCTGTCCCAGAATCTCATCCAGGATGCCACGTTACATTTAGTCTTCTTGTCTCTTTAGCTTCGTCATCCCTCACCCTGCCTTTCATACTGTTCGCATTGGAAGCAAGTAACTAAGCAAAGCCCAAGATCAAGGGGTGGGAGTTAAGCTCCACTTCTTTGAAGAGCGAGGAGGAGTATCTATGTAAATGAGTTGGAATTCTTCTGTACAGGATATTTGTCTCTTCTCCATTTATATTAGTATAGACTCGTGGATATTTATTTTATACTTTAGGTTATAATCCAATACTATGTTATTTATTTTGCTGATAAAATTGTTCCAGCTTTGGACATTAGTAGCTCTTTCAGATTGACCCCCGTGTCCTTTTGACATACTCCATCATCATTATTATTATTTTAGTATCTCTTGACTTTCTGGCACTATAAGATGCTGTAGGCTCCTCTTATACATTTCTTGCCCCAGTCCTAGGCCAGCTATTTCTCCAAGGAGCCCTGGTTAATTAATTTTTTTGGAGAGTAGAAATCATGTCTGGGTGTTTCTGGGTGTTAGGTATGCTTGTTTGCAAGAGGTTATTGCCTCTATTCCCTGTCAGTGGACAGAGCTGAGAAAACATATGTACTTACACTAAGCCATGAATGCCTAATCCATGCATGCATATAGATATGCATATCTATAATTTCATCTTTGTCTATCTCTATATCAAGCACTAAGCATGAGTTCATACTGATGTTATTGGCTCTAATCCAGTGCCACATGGTTCATTCTAGTCTTTTCCTCTTGCTTGTTTGTTATCTCCCTGTTTAATAATAAGAAACCTGACTTCCACCATCTGCTGTCAATTTACTTGTTGCTCACCTCCAGTAAACATGTAAAGTGGTTTCAGAATTGTTAATCTGTAACTTGTGAGAGACAGTTTTACTCACTAGAGTACAGTGTTTATGTATAGTTCTTTCTGTCTTTAGTTTTACAGTTTTTAGTCAAAATACCATTTTCCAAAGTTAGATCAGTTATTTTCCCCCAACCCTTCAGTGAGATTGTGCCATACATTTGTAGTACAGTCAGATTATTTTGTCACAGTCCCCATTCCATCTTGTGCATCCCTTGCCCTTTTGGCTGATTTGTAAAATTTGTATGCGCTAAGGTTCACGCTGTGCTGTAAAGTTTTATGAGTTTTGACAAATGCAGAGTGTCATGTATCCACCACCATAGTACCATACAGATTAACTCCACCACCCTGAAAGCCCTCTGCTCACAATCTTTTGAGAATTCCCAGGTGATATCTTTCAGACTGATATCTCACGTTGATCTTTCGTGGGAAAAAAGCATAAGCTATGAGTCTTTCATTTATGGTGATGGTTCTCAGTCCCAGTAGCACACGAGAACTATCTGGAAACCGTTAGAAAATACTGATGCCTGATTTTACCTCCAGATCCTGACTGAATTGATCTCACCTGGTTTAGTTGGTCTGGGGTGTAGGTCTGGGTACTAGAACTTTGAAAAGCTTCCCAGATGCTCATGGTGTGCAGCAAAAGTTTAGAACTACTCTGGACTCCTCTATTTCTTGTTTACTGCCTTTTGATAAAAACACAAATAATTAATTGCTGCATTTACATCACTTTGGGGGATATGATGAATCAGTATGTAAGTTTTGTAAATAAGTAATGTAGCAAGGATGAATTTCACACACTAAATAATCTTGTGCAAAAACACATCTATTTTTTATTGCTAATTGAACTCAAAATGAACCTCAATTTCTCTTGGTGACAGCAAATTCAATTTTGACAAGTCAAAGTTACTCAATTATTTGTAGTTTAAAACTCGGTTCTTTGGGAGAAAATAGTTGAATTCATCTTTCCTCCTCTCCTTCTCCGTTCATCTTTTCCTTGGTATGACCTAGGCTTGGGTGCAGGTGATCTCAGGTGGCACCAGCATCAGGGAAGGCACATCTAGCCAGATGCATTTGGGGATCCCCAGACAGAGAATTATGGCCCTGCTTCCTGTGGAGAATGTTGGGAGGGAGCAGATACTGCGGAGCAGAAAGGGTTTCAGAGCAGACCTCACAGAGAGCATGCCTAAGAGAGGCCACTTCCGTCTCCCTTAGTGGCTGAGGGGTCTGAAGAAAGTCTGCAAGGTTCTCACCTCAGCTGGAGAGGGGCAGAGAAGGTGGCTGCAGACTGAGAGCTGGTAGCCTACTGGAGTCCAAAACCTTGGGCCGGGGACCCCACAACAGACACTTGGGAGTGAATGTAAGCCAGTGGCTGAGCGGGGAAGGCCACTGGATCCCAGAGGCTCAGCAGCACCTGAGAGTATGGGGATGATGGTTATGCCAGCCTGGAACACGGCCTCATGCCCTTAGGGAACATCATGTGGTGCTGTCCAGGTTGATCGAACAGAAAACAACAGCAGAAAAGCACTCTCGGATGCTGCTGATCCTCTGGGATCCAGTGGCCTTCCCCACCCAACCACTGGCTTATGTTCACTCCTAAAGTGTCTGTTATGGGGTCCCCTGGCTCTAGGTTTTGGACTCTTTGGTAGTCCCCCTGCTCTCGATCCATAGCTACCCTCTGTGCCCCTCTTCAGCTGATGTGAGAACCTTGCAGACTTCCTCCACACCCCTTGGCTGCTGAGGGAGATGGAAGTGGCCTCTCTTAGGTGTGCTCTCTGCGAGGTCTGCCCTGAAACCATTTCTGCTCTGCTGTAGCTGCTCCCTTCCAGAATTATCTACAGGAAGCAAGGCCACAAGTCTTCTCTGTTTAGGGATTCCCAAACCCAACTGAGGCTTCCTTTGTATCTTCTGGGGATTTAACTTCCCAAATTAGGCCAAGGAGCCAAGCCCCATCTTTACATCTAAACTATCACTTGCCCCTCCCAGCTACTCCCCTCAGTAGAAAGAGGGCATGGAGGGGAAACTAAATCACCTTCCTCTCCTCTTCCTTGCATCATGAACTCCCTGTGTACTGCCCTCTAGCTTGGCTAATGACATGTAGTGCCAAGATTTTAGAATTAAAACAACAACAACAATGCCAACAACACTTTTCTCTGTCAAGAATATAACTCTCTTCAAATAATGGGCTTAGGTTTACAGACAGTTGCTTCTCCTGAGTATTTTCTAAAAATCCATTTAGAAATTCAGTCTCCTGTGTTCTGAGCCATCTGCCTTCTGTTCAAAGCGGTGAAAGGCACTGAACAAAGTGGTGAAGAACTTGAGGTTAGAAAAATGTGGCAAAGGAAAAGATGTCTCAAAACAACAACACCCATCTACTATCATATTGTGGTATGATATGGACCAAATAAATACTCCAAATAAATTTCAGTTTGGAGTGGATTTGGAAGGCAGATTTCCATGCAAGTGGAAATAAAGGCCAGTAAGATGTATCTACATTTAAAGACCCATAGATCTTTCCACACATGCAATAGGAAAAGCTGGACATTTATTTGAGGCTTGGCTAAAGCTCCAGACCACAGGCAGTCAAGACCTCAGGGTGTAAAAATGGAATATTGATATTTATTCTGTATTTATTCCAGGAAGATTTCACTGCCAAGGTGACAGTTGGTGAGAGCTGTCCAGAGGAACTTTAGTCAAAGTCTGTTGAGATTTTTTTGAAAAAACATGAATTAAAGCAATTGAAGAATGAATCCGCTGGAAAAACAGATTACTATTTGTTCAGATTCCAATGATGAGTAACTTCACTTTGTCTTTTGTTTTGTCCTCAGCTGGAAAGGCAGCTCATCATGCAGAGTGAAATGAGGGAAAGACAAATGGCTATGCAGATCGCGTGGTCTCGGGAATTCCTCAAATATTTTGGAACTTTTTTTGGCTTTGCAGCCATCTCTTTAACAGCTGGGTATGTTTGCTATTTAATATTTTCTTCAGTCATTTACTTCTTTTTGTCTTTTCCATTACCATTTTATTATGAAGTTGGCCAGAATAAGACTTTGGTCCAAATAGTGTATGTAAGCAAAGTAACCTATTAACCTTAGTCCTTGGGGGTAACTCTGTGAAAGCAAGGCAGTAACAGTTAATTTAGTTTCCTAGGTTGCTTCTGTCTTTTTCTCTACTTTATTAGTTAGAGAGAGAGAGCACCAACTTGACACCAAGAAGGCCTCTATATGTTTATCTCCACAATCCCTTAGTGGTAGATACCAATCTTTACCCATTTTAAAAACAAGGAACCTGAGCTTCAAAGTCAAATAAAGATGAACAAGTCACAGACCTTGCCCTTGAGAACTGCAGAATCTGGTTAGGGATATTGGGTAAGGAAATCCTATTTCCATAGAATTATCAAATGTATTAAGTAACTTCTGAAGGAAAAGTCATTCTTCCAAAAAGCAGGTATTTTTTTTTTCTTTAAGTATACAGATATGTATTTACAGATTATTTTTTGATATTGGTTCTTTTTTTAATTCTTGAAATAGAGCGATTAAAAAAAAGAAGCCAGCCTTCCTGGTCCCAATTGTTCCATTAAGCTTTATCCTCACCTACCAGTATGACTTGGGCTATGGAACCCTTTTAGAAAGAATGAAAGGTAAGTCTTTGATAAACTAGAGTTTCTATTTGCTGATTTATTTTCCAGTTCAAGGATCCCTGCCTTAGGAACCTTTGACTTATAAAAATTCTGACAAGACTCTCTCTTTGAACCTCCAATGACCAACATTTCTGCTCCCTCTCACACAGTGGTGTGCTGGAGCCACCTCATACCAGCTCACAAGAACCAATCACTACATTTTCAGGGATTGTGTAAGCCGGTTGTTAAACATAGTCATTTAAGGTATTAAAACTTATATAAACTTGCAACAAATAAATTACAGCAAATAAATAATATTAAATTGTGTTTAAAACAAAGGTAATAAACAGAACTCATCTGTTTCTAAATATTTGCTATTATCCATACTCTGATTATTTATAGCTATTGTATCTATATGATAGAAATGCAGATATAATACACAGACAAAACAAAATACAGCTACTGTCCAGTTTTAGTGACACCCCATTGATAGTCTGAAGTTGGTCTTGATGGGAGTATTTACACAATGGAAATCTGTGGTTGCCAAATCAAGGCTTGACTGCTTATTTTATTGATTTTCTAGACCAGGGGTTGAAAAGTTATGGCCTGAGGCTGGCCACCTGTTTTCAAAAATAAAGTTTTATTGGAACACATCCATGCTCATTCATTCATGTATTGTCTGTGGCTGCCTTCCCATTACCATGACAGAGCCATCGTTGAAACAGAAACATATAAGCCCACAAGCCTATAATATTTACTGTCTGGCCCTTTAAGACAGTTTGCCAACCTATGGTCTAGATTTTAAAAATTGATGAAGAAAATGCTAAAAATGCAGATTAAGCTTAAAAATGTGCTTTGTATGTAACTATTCCATTGTAAATAGCATAAAAGTTGGTGAAATATTCTTCTAATATTGAAAAACTATTATCCAGTTCAGCAAATAAGTTGTTTACATCATTCTCAAATAAATGAAGTTCCAACATTTGTCTTCAATAAAACAACTCATTGTTTCACTTTTGTCCTACTCATTAGTGTGAATGAAAACACCAACCGTCATCCATTATACTCTCTCATCAACTGCGACATAGGCTGGCCACGGATTCCAGCATTCCATAAAAATCAATGAAAGCATTCTGTGAGAATCAATTTGCTATGTGGAATTTTATGTACATTTTATTATGGTACATATTTTTATGTATAATGAACATGTATAACATGTATAATAAGCATATATATTATAAATTTATAGACATTTTATTTTCAGAGAACTGGTTGGTAAATATTCACCTGCACACTGCTGCTGTCACATAATCCTGATTTTTATTGCCCTGGAATTTGACACAGCTGGCACAGAAATTTAATAGGAAATTTTTATGGGAATTTCCTGTTTAAAAAAAATTCGAATTCATCAGAAAACTTATCACATTAGAAAATGTAGATTATAGTTTTTTTTTCCATGTTAATAATGATGACTCTAAAATATACAATCCCTATTCAACTGAGTTTATTATCAGCCATTCTGTAAATACATGATGAGAATTTACTAACTGGAAGAAAGGCTCTCTCACATGGAAAACATCTAGTCTGTCATCAATGGCCAACCTAGTTATATGTAATTTTATCATGATTTTTACTTGCTATTTGAGACAGAGGTAAAAAAAGAAGATATTTGCAGATGATTGAAATGCTCTTATAATTTGAAAACTATGGTCTGTTCTGTTGGGTTTGGAGTACAATTAATAGCGTGTTAAAAGAAGGCCAGGTGCAGTGGCTCACACCTGTAATCCCAGCACTTTGGGAGGCCAAGGCGGGCAAATCACTTGAGTTCGAGACTAGCCTGTCCAACATGGTGAAATCCTGTCTCTATGAAAAGTACAAAATTAGTCGGTGTATACCGCCTGTAGTCCCAGCTACTCAGGAGGCTGAGGCACAAGAATCGCTTGAACTGAGGAGGCAGAGGCTGCAGTGACCTGAGACTGCACCACTGCACTCCAGCCTGGGTGACAGAGTTGGACTCTGTCTCAATAAAATAAAATAGTGTGTTAAAAGAGGAGTACTCACAGAAAGTGTCACCTTTTAATCCCAAGGGAGGCTTATGAAATGTAAACATGTACTGTAATACAATTTTTAAAAATGTGCTAAGTAGTCTTCAACAATAAAACCTGGCAAATGTCACTGGGCCCAAGAAATTACTGCATTGTGTAGCTCTTTTAAAGGGGAATTGTTTATAAAGATGTGTGTATATGTATATTTGTATGTATACAGACTAAAGAACATTTAATATTATTTTGAGTGTTTATAAGTAATGTCAGGTTGAAGATTAGCTTTTCTGAAAAATTAGAATTTGTAGTAAACTTTACTTTCTCTCTTGTCACTTATATTAAAGGACAATGGGAAAGACTATATATGTGGTTTCTCTACCCAAATCCCTCCAAACAGAATTAATACTAATCCTGACTTTGTTTCAAGGGAAAAAATTACTTATCTTGATGTTCTTTCTCTTCTACATGTCAAAAAAATCTGTACCTCCTGATTTATGTATGAGTTGTCAGAATTCATCACTGTGTTTCCTCTGGGAAGTGTATTACTTCTCCTGAGGAAAATGTTTAAGTGTGAAATTGGGAACATGGCTCATACGCTGTTAGAGCCTGTCAAGGAATATAGCAATCAGGCTTTGTCACAAATTGCTGATGACCCCTTTGTCACCTTGTGTATTTCTGTACTTTATTTAAGGTGAAGCTGAGGACATACTGGAAACAGAAAAGAGTAAATTGCAGCTGCCAAGAGGAATGATCACTTTTGAAAGCATTGAAAAAGCCAGAAAGGAACAGAGTAAATTCTTCATAGACAAGTGAAATCCTGTTTAGCAATCAAATCTCAAAGCACAGAATTGTTGACTTGAATCATGGTTTTTACAATTTTTTAAATGCTCAAGATTTTGATATTGTAGATTTTATTTTAAAATATTAAAATGCAAGATGAGTTTTGAGCTATTTTAAAATAAAATTTATAACATTCAACACAAAATCAAGGAGGTGCTCTAAATAACTTTCAGATTTCCTCTCTCTGTGTGCATTACCAATATCTAAGTGTAAAATTAATAAATTGTTTTGAATTCCTGGAAGCAAATGCCCAGCTGCTCTCACTTCTCTGTCACACATACTTTCCATACCACATTCCATTTCCACAGATGCTTCTGTATTTTGGATTTGTCAATTGTGTCCTGCCCCTACATGACAGAAAACAGTATTGTTTGACTAACATATATACTGCATTTACTATGACTGGCACTGTTCTGAGTGTTTTGTACAAATTCTTGTAATCATCCCAATAATTTTATGAAGCAGGAATCATTTTATACATGTGGAAACTGAAGCACAGATAAGCAGCTTGAACAAAGGCAGAAGCATGCAAGCCAAATCCAAGAAGTTGCTGTAGGTCATCCAGTTTGGCTGGGCCAAAGCCATGCTTGGCCAGGGCTTGGATTTGAACAAGTGTGGCTCCAGTGGCTGTGCTCTAAAAGGCCTTGACAAGGCCTTAACTGATGCTTAACCTGCAAAGAAAAGCTATAAAAGGGAAAAGGTAACAACATTCTAATAGTGACCCAGGGCATAGTTGCTAGAGAGGTGGAAACAAGAGAGAGGTAGATTTGGATGACTGTCTTTTTATTTAGACTCACTGGGAAAACACCTCATAAAATACTCCTCTATGTAAGTATTCCTTCAGATGCAAACTCTACATATAATATGCTTATTCCAAAGAGATTTATTGATACTACTATGTGCCAGGCACTGTTGTAGACACTAGAGCTACATCAGTGAATAAGTAGACAATGTCCTGTATCCTGGGCAGGGGAATATGTTCTAGTGAGGGGTGGGAGAATGGAGAGGGCAACAAATTAACATGGAGATAAACATGACAGATGCTTCAGTAGAAATGAAACAGAGTGATAAGAGAATGATTGGGTTAATGAGGTGGTGCTACTTTAGATCGGGGCTGCAGACACTGCCTCTCTGCAGAGGTGACATTTGGACTGAGACATGGCATGGCCAAATAATAGAAAGAAGCCCAGGAAGAATAATAGGAGAGTAAATATTAAGGTAGGAATAAGCATGAATATAATGTGGTCCCTACCTTCAAGGAGCTGACAACATACCAATGTATTTTGTTACAATTTTAGTTTTAGAGAACCTTGAGCCAAGTCTTGAAGGATGCATAGAAGTTCTCCATGAAGGTAAATGTTGAAGAGGAAGGGTGCCCCGGGCAGGAGAAGCAGCTTGAACAAAGGCAGGACCATGCAAGCCAAATCCAAGGAGTTGCTGCAGGTCATTTAATTTGGCTGCAGCAAGGAGTTCCTCATGTGGGGGACTTTTCAGAAATGATCCTGGTGGAAGCACAGTTCAATTCCTAAAGGGCCTTGGATGTAACAGCAAGGAGTTTGGATTCTTTCCTGAGGGTGATAGCAGTGAAATAATACAAAATGGGATTTTTACTCAGATTAGTAGATTAGAAGGGAAAGATTCCAGATCTCAAGTAATGAGGAACTGCAATGATCCACCTGAGTGCTGACCAGCGGCCTGAATTAAGGCTACAGCCTTGCGAATGGACTCAAGATTGTGAAAATAGAGAACAGCGGCACCAGGAAACCAGTCTGAGGTCACAGAATGGGAGAAGTTGTTTTCCCTGCATTTTTAATCTGTGTAAATTATCTAAGACCCCTAGAGAACATGGGAAAGAAGTACTGGGAGCAACACTGGTGGACTCGTGAATGCTTAAGACCTAGTGCTGGTGGTAGGTCACACCAGAATCTGGAATTGTATTTCTTTCCCCATAATTCAATCATGCTATTCAAATGTTCCTGACATAGTCTAGCCAGGGCTCGCCAAGAATAGTTTGAGGCCTCTGCAAGGGCTGATCGGCTCAAGACCTTATATGGGATTTTCGTTGCTGGCAACATAGGCCCTGGGCCCCCTTAAGAACACCAGGCTGTTTAATTATATTGGCTTCTTCCTCTGGCACTGACACTGAGTTTAATAATTCTACCTCAGTAGAGCCCCTGCTGAAAAACATACACACGCACTTACACTCATACTTTTGTTCGCTCCCAATTGTATAGAGAGGCAAAAATCAAAGTGGAGCTATTAAAAATGACCATGCAGCACAAGTATGTTGTAACATTTTTCAGTGTTATAACTGCTGATTATCCAAAACTTTTCCTCTCATTATTACAGTGTCCGTTGGTTGAAAGGAAAAACATTTCTGCTGTGATGCTCCTGAGCTATTTCTTCATTTATGTTAATTAAATATTTGTTTATACTTATGATTAAGCCCTAATTACCAACTAGACATCTGATGTTTCCAAATACGGAACCTTATATGGTCTTCTATAAGTAACTAGCTTATAATTATCACAAACTTTTGTGATATTACAAGAAGAATGAGGAAATAAATGAGTAAGTATATTAGGAGAAGGATAAGAAACAGGTTTCATTATGAACAAAGATTTAGAGATTAAAATAATGATAACCTCACTCAATCTCTTTGTCAATTATTAGGAGCAAAGTTGGAGGAAAACTTGTCTACACTCCATGTGGTTCTTTTCTTCCCAAGACACTCTTGGCTCAGCCAAGGCAATGCAGAAGCTGCCAAGTATATGTGGAGTCTGTCATAGTTAAGGGATGTAAGTATGGATCCAGAGATTCTCTGCAACAGAAAGACTGTTCTTGACAATCACTGCATAATAGTAAAGATGCAGTCTGTGACATTGCTGTACCTAAGTGTTTTGAATGTTTCATATTCACATTTACATTAGAGAATTGTTATCCCAGTTAAAAATAATATATCAGGGTCTAAAATTTACAAATAAATTAAATTTATATGGTGTTCAACCAATCTGAATTTGTGTTTATGGGTAATGTTGAAGGTTCCTTTATGGTGTGGTACTCATTGCACTTTGGAAAGGCTGTGAGAAAGTTCCCATAAGCCAAAGTAGTTTTAATGACGAATAGTGAAGTTATGATCAAGGATTTTAAAGATGAAGGGAAGACACTTAGAAATAGTCCAGTCTAAGTCCTCACCTTACACTTGAAAAAATTGAGGCCCTTTGTGATTGACCTAAGGTTTTACATCTAGTAGTGGTAGTTACACTAAAACCTTTGTATTTGGTATCCCTGGCAGGATTCTTTTCAATACAACATGCTGCCTGATCAAGAAAAAATAGTGTCAAAGTCAAAATCAAATATAATTTTAAAAATTATCACATATGTTCAGTCTCAGAGCCATATAAAGTGTCCTAGGGTGGGGTTAGAAGGGCATTGGTTAGAAGGGAATTGAGAAGGAATAGACACAGATTGCAAAAATAATCTATGACCAATATAACCTAAATATGAGCCATCTGAAATTGATAATATATTTTACAGACTTTCACAATTTTAATGTATGAATGTTCAAGTGCGATATTCCAGAAACACGAGCCAGAAACTCGATACTTTTTCTGCCCCACCATTCTTGGAAAGGAATAAATTGTTACTGATAAAATATAATCAAACACATTGCTCAGGCATTGTGGTGTCTCTTGACCTTGGAGTGTGTCTGTTTTGTGAGAGGATTGGAAATACTCCCTTAGATTTGGCCTTGTGGATGCCCACAGGAGATTTCAGGAAGTACCCTGTCTACCATCAACTGCTTTCTGCTTTCAGAAAGCAGTTTCTAGTATTTTCTTCAAAACACTGGCTGTTTAGCATCTCCACTGATTTTTCTAATGATAACTTTGAGTCTGTCTGGAGCAGTATCTGGGCTGCAAATGTGCTAAGAGACACAGGCGAATGGAAGGAGGGGAAGTGAGAAAAGTCTGGAAAATAAGAAAGGAGCCAAGGAAGAATGGGATGGAGCTGACTCAACTGCCTCTAACAGTAGACAGTCCAAGAATGTCTGTTAGTGTTCAGCTACTGGCTTGGTTGGGGGAGTTGAACCCACCAACCCAATCCAAAGACCAAAGCCACCAATGGGATTCCCTCACAGGCCAGTTTATTTTGCTGTGTTAACTTGTTTCTCTGGTTACTCAAATGACAGAAGTGTGGCTGCAGCAGTACAAATTCGTCATCACCACTGAATAAAAGCAACTGGAAACTGTATCCCACTGATAAGAACTCAGTGGTATCACTAAGTCTGAGGTTTGGATAACATTTCTGGCTCAAAATTTCTCGGTCCACAAGTGTCAAGGATTGAATGATGGAGTGTTAGCCTTAGTTTCTGTTTTTTCTTGAAGGACTTCATCTGTGGTCAGCAGCATTCCATGGGTGTTTTCTTCTCTGCTCTTGAGGTGGAGGTAGACCCTGACCTTGAGTTGGTTTAGGCATGCCATTTGGTGTTAGGAGAACAGAGTCCATGTTGTAGGAAGGACCAGAAATCTAGGACTGTAGCTTGGTGAAAGTTTCAAAAAATAGTAAGGAAGTAAATGGCCATTGAATGTATGTGAAAGTCAACGGGTTAGAGATAGTGGTAGATATTGAAGTGTGATTAGGGAGACCTGTGAAAGGCTGTCAGGATAATGTTAAAATAATATGATCAGACTTTGAGAAAGATGAGTGACGGTTTTTTCTTCTCTTCCCACCATTCCCACACCATTAATTTACTGCTGATAAACATTTGACTTGACTTGAAAGTAGCACCAAGTTTATCCCCTAAGGTGATTTTGAAGAAAGATAAGCTAGGAACCCAAGATAGGTCTGAGGCACTTGACAGTTTCACACTTCCTTAAAATACTTCCAACTTGGTCTCAGGAATGTTTTTCTTTTCATCTTCAAAGAAATAAGAATTTCGGAAGCAGACCAACTGATGCTACCTATTTCAAACTAGTGATAATAGAAAGACACCTGGGGTTGGAATATAGTTTGTGCTGATGAATAGTTGCTTCTCTCTAATTCAGTAGCTGTGGAAGACACAGGGCACTGGATTGACCTTGCAGCCAGTTTACTTCTCTGAACTGACAGCTTAGGACAGTTCACAGGTGAATTTTTGCAAAGCCTGACACCTCTGAAGCATCCTAAAAATCTAGGTAGGCAAAGGGGTTCTATTCAGTTTCAGACTTTGACATGGTCTCTCAAACAGAGGCATCAATTTCCTATTAG